TTTTTTTTTTTTTTTTTTTTTTTTTTTGAGACAGAGTCTTGCTCTGTCACCCACACTGGAGGGCAGTGGCGTAATCTCAGCTCACTGCAGCCTCCACCTCCCAGGCTCAGATGATTCTCCTGCCTCAGCCTCCTAAGTAGCTGGGATTACAGGCATGTGCTACCACACCGAGCTAATTTTTGTATTTTTAATAGAGACGGGATTTCACCATGTTGACCAGGCTGGTCTTGAACTCCTGACCTCAGGTGATCTGCCTGCCTCAGTCTCCCAAAGTGCTGGGATTACATGTAAGAGCCACTGCGCCCAGCCTCATTACTTACTTTGTTGCCCCAGTTTTTCAAGTCTTAACCATTAGGAGCTCCTTCAGGTTGGCTGTGTTCATTCTTTCATTAAGCCCCCATCCTTTTTTGAGCACTTCCTTACTCCTGCCCCACAAGATCCTCCAGATTTGACTTATATTTTCCCAGCCCTAGTCCTAGAATCAAACACTTCTCCAAGGAGTCCTCAATCCTTTTATTAAATAATGGTGTTTAGAAACCAAAATCTGGGCACCCGGTGTGCTCACTGCTACTATGATGTTGTTGCTCCTAGGCCTTCTCAGCAGACAGAGATAGTGAACATTAATAACATAATCCACATATACATACATAGATCTATATTTCTGTATCTTTCCATCTGTGTATATTTTAAAACATGAGTTTATACAGATACTTCTGATTCTGATCTAATATCACAGCATTCACTTAATCCCCTTTCCTTATTTGTAACTTCTTTCTCCAACAGTAAGAAACCTGGTTCTCATTATCTACAATATAGTTTACTTATTCATGTATACCAGTATACACATAATGTAGTTTCAGAATTGCTAACACATACTTCTAACTAGATTACAGCATTTATGTTCAGCTCTCTTTAGTTTAGTTGTTTTTTTGTTTTGTTTTTGTTTGTAAGACAAGCTCTCTCCCTGTCATCCAGGCTGGAGTGCAGTGGCACAGTCATGGATCATTGCAGCCTCAACCTCCTAGGCTCAAGTGATCCTCCTGCTTCAGTCTTCCATGTAGCTGGGTCCAAAGGTACATGCCACCACATCACACTTTTTTCCTTTTTTTTTTTTTTTTTTTTTGAGATGATGTCTCTCTCACTTAGCCAGGCTGGAGTGCAGTGGCAATATCTTGGCTCACTGCAACCTTCTCCTCCCAGCTTTAAGCAATGCTCCTGCCTCAGCTTCCAAAACAGCTGGGACTACAGGCACATGCCATCATGCCCAGCAAATTTTTGTATTTTTAGTAGAGACAGGGTTCACCCTGTTGGCCAGGCTGGTCTCAAACTCCTGACCTCAGGCGATCCACCCAACTTAGGCAATCCACCTGCCTCAGCCTCCCAAAGTGCTGGCATTACAGGCATGAGCCACCACATCCAGCCACATCCAGCTAGTTTCTAAATTTTTTGTAGAGCCTGAGTCTCACTTTGTTGCCTAGGCTAGTCTTGATCTCCTGGGCTCAAGTGATCCTCCTGTCTTGGCCTCCCAAAGTGCTGGGATTACAGGCGTGAGCCACTGCACCAGGTCCATGTTTAGTTTTATAGAACCCTGTCACTGTTTTCCAGAGTTATTTGGTTTTGTTCTTCACTTCCTTCAGTGTGGTTATATTGTTCATTTGTAGTACAGTGAGGGTCATATTCCATATGTATATTTGTATACATATTTGTAGTACAGTTAGTGTTCATATTCCATGTTAGGTTTCCTCAACACTGTGATTGGTTTTAATTTTTTGTCTATTGTGGGGGCATGTGAAACATTGCTATAGTTCTAAGAGTCAGGGGTATACAGAAAGATCTACTCTGAGAAGTGCCATTTTTGTCCTCATTCTCACAACCCTGACCCCTTTCCCCCTTTCGTTCCATCTCTTTGCCACTCACCCTCTTGTTTGTGTTTTTGTTTTGGAGATGAGTCTTGCTCTGTCGCCCCCCGGAATGGAGTGCAGTGGCACGATCTCAGCTCACTGCAACCTCCGCCTCCCGGGTTCAAGCGATTCTCCTGCCTCAGCCTCCCAAGTAGCTGGGACTACAAGCATGCGCCACTATGACCAGCTAATTTTTGTATTTTTAGTAGAGATGGGGTTTCACCAAGTTGGTTGGCCAGGATGGTCTCGATCTCTTGACCTCGTGATCCGCCCGCCTTGGCCTCCCAAAGTGCTGAGATTACACGCATGAGCCACAGTGACCGACCCTGAGATATCTTTAAGAATACTTCAAGGCCCTACTGAACTCAGTATGAAAACTGCATCAATGGACAAAGTTAGACAAAGGTATTTGGTAACAAGCCTTCATGAAGCCTGAGATTCAGTCCTGCTCTCATCCTAGAATTATACTCCCCATTCTACAGGACTAGAACTACAAACAGGGATCAGGAGACCAACTCCCAATTCTGGTTCTGCCATGAGCATGCTTTATAACCCTAGGGGATCTCCTAACTTTGTGGCTAAGATTTCTCACCTAAAAAATGAAGAACTTGAACTCTGTGATCCCGAGGTTCCTCCCAAAGCCTTCCTTCTGTAGGTTTCGTGTACATTACCTTAGCTATAGTTGGAGGCATGCCAGGGCTATGGAGACTCACCTTTACAACATACACTCTGACCAGGAGCTTGATGGGCCGGTTCTGTGGGATGCCCCGGGAGATCTGGGGCTCAGAGAATGACACTGCCTCTGATTCAGGGTAAATGAGGAAGGAGCCCTGAGTTGGGGGGAGACAGAAAAGGCTCTGATAAGAGAATTGTCCTTCTGAATCCCCACCTGGGCTCCCTGGTTCTGCTTTCCTTCCCCAAATGCACCTTGAACTTGCCCACAAGGTGTCCAGATCCTTCCTCTTCTCCACCTGCATCCTGGCCCCCTTGCCCTCGGTACAGAGGAAATACATACAGCCAGTCTTCAAAGTGGTTAAATTCTTCTTCCAGGGACCTGTTGTAGATCTAAAAGGCAAGGACTTCAGTGACAGCCCGATGTCCAGAATCCAAAGGAGACTTTCCTTTTCCCAGTACCCAGTCACCTTCAGGGTGGCAACTGCTTTTTTTCGGGACACAGTGCCTTTGACTTCAGCCTCACCCTGGTCTTGGGCCTCCCCAACCATAGAAATGAGGTTGACCCCATCTGGAAACAACAAAAATGCCCCAGTCAGAAATATCTGGGTAGGCAGGACATGGGCAGATGGAACCAGAGCAAAAAACCCAATCTCTTACCTGAATCTCCAGGATCATCCATTTCATCTTCATCAAGGTTGTGCTGAAATTAAAGGGCAGATCCAGAGATTCTTCCCCATCCCCTTTAACTCCTTAGCCTACCCCCTTTTCCAAGAGAGTTGGGAAGCCTTCATTCAAGTTTCCACTGTGTATGCCACTTGCATTTTTAAAGTTCCAATTTATCATCCAGTCCTGCCCTGTCCAGGGTGGTCACCATCAACCACACGTGGCTACCGAGCACTCAAAATGTGGCTAGTCTGAATTGCGATGTTCTCTAAGTGGCCAGGCTTGGTGGCTCATGCCTGGAATCCCAACACTTTGGGAGACTGAGGTGACTGCTTGAGGCCAGGAGTTCGAGATCAGGCTGAACAACACAGTGAGAACCTGTCTCTATGAAATAAATGCCTTTTAATTTTTATTTATTTATTTTTGAGACAGGCTCTTGCTCTGTAGCTCAGGTTGGAGTGTGTTGGTGTGAACATGGCTCACAGCAGCCTCAACCTCCTAGGCTCAAGCGATCCTCCCACCTCAGCCTCTTGAGTCACTGGGACCACCAGAATGCACAGCTACTTCTTTTCATTTTTAGTAGAGATGGTGTCTCACTGTGTTCCCCAGACTGTTCTCAAACTCCTTGGTTCAAGTGATCCTCCCACCTCAGCCTCCCAAAGTACTGGGATTATGGGCATGAAACACCACACCCAGGGAAAAAAAAAAGTTTTGAATTAGCTCAGTGTGATGGTATGTATTTATGGTCCTAGCTACTGGGGAGGCTGAGGTGGGAAGATGACTTGAACCAAGGAGTTTGAGACCAGTCTGGACAACAGATAAAGACCCCATCTCTAAAAATGAAAAGAAGGGGCCAGGCGCAGTGGCTCACGCCTGTAATCCAGTACTTTGGGAGGCTGAGGCGGGCAGATTACCTGAGGTCAGGAGTTCAAGACCAGCCTGGTCAACATGGTGAAACCTCGTCTCTACTAAAAATACAAAAAAGTAGCCAAGCATGGTGGCAGGCGCCTGTAGTCCCAGTTTCTCAGGAGGTTGAGGCAGAAGAATAGCATGAACCCAGGAGACGGAGCTTGCAGTGAGCTGAGATTATACCACTACACTCCAGCCTGGGCGACAGAGTGAGACTCTGTCTCAAAAAATAATAATAATAAAAAGAAAAAAGAAAAAGATGTGCTATAAGTATAAAATAAACACTGAATTTTTAAATACTTAGTACAAAAAACAAAAATGTAAAATATCTCAGAAATTTTATGATTTTTTTTTTTTCTTTGAGACAGAGTCTCACTCTGTCATCCAGGCTGGAGCACAATCTTGGCTCACTGTAACCTCCACCTCCCAGGTTCAAGCGATTCTCCTGCCTCAGCTTCCAGAGTAGCTGGGATTAACAGGTGCCCACCACCACGCCCAGCTAATTTTCGTATTTTTAGTAGAGACGGGGTTTCACCATGTTGGCCAGGCTGGTCTCGAACTCCTGACCTCAAGTGATCTGCCCACCTCAGCCTCCCAAAGTGCTGGGATTACAGGTGTGGGCCACTGTGCCCAGCTTTGAAATATTTTGAATATATTACTAAAATTAATTTCACCTGTTTCGTTTTACTTTTTTGTTTTAGACTGAGTCTCGCTCCATCACCCAGGCTGGAGTGCGGTGGCGCAATCTCGGCTCACTGCAAGCTCTGCCTCCTGGGTCCACGCCATTCTCCTGCCTCAGCCTCCTGAGTAGCTGGGACTACAGGCACCCGCCACCATGCCCGGCTAATATTGTTTGTATTTTTAGTAGAGATGGGGCTTCACCGTGTTGGCCAGGATGGTCTCAATCTCCTGATCTTGTGATCCACCCACCTCGGGCTCCCAAAGTGCTGGGATTACAGGTGTGAGCCACTGCGCCTGGCCCCTTTTACTTTTTTTAATGTGGCTACTACAGAAGTTAAAACTACGTATGTGGCTCGTATTATCTCTGTTGGACAACACAGCTCTAGATAATGGAGTTAATAATCCCCAGCTTCTGGAATTGTGAAGAAAAGAGGACTGTAATGAAGAGTTCTGAAAAACTGTAGAGCTCCACCTTCAATGAGATCATTCTTGTTTTTTGTTTGTTTTTTTGAGACGGAGTCTGTCACCCAGGCTGTTGTGCCGTGGCATGATCTCAGCTCACTGGAGCCTCTGCCTCCAGGTTCAAGCGATTCTCTTGCCTCAGTCTCCTGAGTAGCTGGGACTACAGGTGTGCACTGCCATGCCCAGCTAAGATATCATTCTTTTTATCATTTACACCCCAGCCCCTCTCTGGGACCCTTCTCTGCCCCCACCTGCCCCTGGAGCTCCTGCAGTGACGCGTAGTACTTGGACCACCAGTCCAGCTCTTCCGGATCTGGGATGTCCTCCTCCAGTCCAGGGCCTTGATTCAGGAGGCCTCCTAGTGGGAACTTCTTCAGAGGAGGCTGAGGAAGAACAGACTTTGTCCCTCTAACCCAGCACCATCCTAAGTACTGCCAGCCCCTTCCCCATCTATCTCCTCTACCCCATCACCTTCAGGAGCTGTCTGGATACACCCGCTTCAGCCAAGAAGGGATTCAGGGACTTCTGTCCTGGGAGGGGGAAATTGGCAGCATGAGGAGACTGGGCAAATAGAAGTCAGATTCCACACCCCATTGGAGGGCCCTCTGGAGCCATGTCCACCAGGAATCAGAGGCGCTTTTGTCTGGTGGTCCTGAAGGAGAAGGTTCCTAACCTTGAGGTCCCTTGGGCATCATATCCCTTGTCTCCTCCATCTCTCCTTCCTCCTCAGGAGGATCCTCATGACCCCGAAATATAAATCGCAGCATGTGGGGGACAATGTGGGAACCCACAAGGACTGTACGGCCAAAGGCCCGGCGCTCAATCACCAGGATGCTGAGTGGGGGCTGCAGGTAAGGCTGCTCCGGCAAGTCCTGGGGGTAGAAGAGAGGAACTGTGTCTTTGAAGACCTAGGGAAGAGGGAAAGGCAGCCACAGACAGGTAGGGAAAAAATACATCTAAACCTGCATTCTAAGCCCAGCTCTGCCACAGCCTCACTATGTAATCTCTGGTAAACCACTGCCTTCTCACCCTGTTTCCTGGCTAAAAAAGGGACACAGGCCGGGCGCAGTGGCTCATGCCTATAATCCCAGCACTTGGGGAGGCCAAGGCGGGTGGATCGCGAGTTCAGGAGTTCGAGACCAGCCTGGCCAATGCGGTGGAACCCCGTCTCTACTAAAAATACAAAATTTAGCCAGGCATGGTGGCAGGCACCTGTAATCCCAGCTACTTGGGAGACTGAGGCAGGAGAATCATTTGAAACCAGAAGGCAGAGGTTGCAGTGAGCCAAGATCACGCCACTGCACTGCAGTCTGGGCAACAAGAGCAAAAAATAAAAAATAAAAAAAAAGGGGACACAATACTGGATGCAAAAGACTGTTGTAAGTATCAAATGACATAATAGAAACATAAGTACTTTCGAGCCTACAAAGTACTGTCAGAAGCTGGGTGTGATGGCTCACGCCTGTAACCCCAGCACTTTGGGAGGAAGGCAGACTGCTTGAGCTCAGGAGTTCGAGACCAGGCTGGGCAACATGGCAAGATACCATCTGTACCAAAAATACAAAAAAATAGTGGGGCATGGTGGTGCACACCTGTGGTCCCAGCTACTCAGGAGGTTGAGGTGAGAGGATCACTTGAGCCCAGGGGGTGGAGGTTGCAGTGAGCCAAGATTGTGCCACTGCACTCCAGCCTTGGCATGGTGGCTGACGCCTGTAATCCCAGCACTTTGGGAGGTCAAGGCAGGCAGATCACTTGAGGTCAGGGGTTCGAGACCAGCCTGGCCAAAATGATGAAACCCTGTCTCTACTAAAAATACAAAAAAAAATTAGCTGTGTGTGGTGGTGGGCGTCTGTAATCCCAGCTACTTGGGAGGCTGAGGCAGGAGAATAGCTTGAACCTGGGAGGCACAGGTTGCAGTGAGCTGAGATCGCACCACTCCAGCCTAGGTGGCAGAGTGAGACTCTGTCTTAAAATATGTATTATGGTTTATTTTATTTTATGGTTAAAGGCCATATATATATGGAATTCTGTATCTATCAATGGATCCTAAGGGAAACAATTTTACTACTGTATTGATGGGTTTATTTTATGTATTTGTAGATATATACATATATACACATATATGTGACAATTTTAGCACAAAAGAGAGAGGAAGAACAGAGCTATATCACAGAAAAGTTTGTATATTTTACTGGAATTAAATTAGTATTAATCTGAAGTAGACTGTGAAATAGTAGTATGCATATTGTAATCCCTAGAGCAACTACTAAGTAAAAATCAACAAATTAAAATAGCACACTAATAAATATCAAAATATAATAAACATCTATTTAACACAAAAGAAAGCAGTAAAGGAGAAACAATAAATACATAAGATATAGAAAACAAAGAGCAAAATGGCAGATGTAAATTCAACCAAAAATATCAATCATAGCATCAAATGTGATCATATTAAATACCAATCAAAAGACAGAGATTGTCAATTGGATTAAAAAAAGAGATGCAACTCCAAGCTGTCTAAGAGATACTTTTTAGATTCAAAGACACATAAAGGACGAAGTACAGGAAAAAATGTATCATGCAAATAGTAACCAGAGAGCTGGAGTAGTTTACCACCAGAGAAAATAGACTTTAATACAAAAAATATTACCAGAGACAAAGAGATATTTTATAATGGTAAACAGGTCGATTCATCTAGAAGATATAACAATTATAAACATATATGCACCTAACAACAGAGCCTCAAAGTACAAAAACAAAAAAGTAATAGAATTGAAGAGAGAAATACACAATTCATTAGTAATAGTTGGAGATTTCAATACCCTATTCTCAATAATGGATAGACAGAAACTAATCAAGGAGGCTTGTTCGTGAAACAGTAACACCTAGAGAGCACCACGAGTCCATGAATTAATCCAGGAATCAGCAAACTGCAGCCCATAGACAGAGTCTGGCCTGCTGTCAGTTTTGTTTTTTTTTTTTCTGAGACGGAGTCTCGGTCTGTCACCCAGGCTGGAGTGCAGTGGCCGGATCTCAGCTCACTGCAAGCTCCGCCGCTCGGGTTTACGCCATTCTCCTGCCTCAGCCTCCTGAGTAGCTGGGACTACAGGCACCCGCCACCTTACCAGGCTAGTTTTTTTGTACATTTTAGTACAGATGGGGTTTCACCATGTTAGCCAGGATGGTCTCGATCTCCTGACCTCGTGATCCACCCGTCTCGGCCTCCTAAAGTGCTGGGATTACAGGCTTGAGCCACCGCGCCCGGCCTTGCTGTCAGTTTTTGTAAATATTCATTTACAATTATCTATGGCTGTTTTTATGCTCCGATGGCAGAGTTGAGTAGTTGCGACAGACTGGATGGCCCTCAAAGCCTAAAATGTTTACTATTTGGCCCATTAGAGAGAGTTGGCTGACCCTTGGATCATCTAAGATAACCAGCTAGAAAGTCACCATCCACTGCCCTCTTTCATTATTCTGCCCCCCTTGTCCCCTAGCCCATGGCCTCACCACTGTCAGATGCCTGACAAGCTCAGTGAAATTGGGGCTCTCACGGTAGCTGGCCAGGACCTCAGACTCCACACGTTGCCCAGCCACCTCCAGTACAACCTGGGGCTGCTCCACCTCGAACAGATGCACACGACCAAGGCCCCTAAGACCCCAGAACAGCACCTGGGGTCAGGATGTGGTAGATTCAGGGGCCTGCACCAGACAAATGGGAACCCAGATGTGGGGGAACAAGGCGGCTTTGAGTGCCTGGTGCTACCTCAACACGGAACTCCCTGAGCACTGGGCACACGTTGGGTGGAAGGGACAGGCGTCCAGAGTGGGGCTCGACCAGGGGTGCCAGATCCTGGGGCTCCACATCACTGGGCACTGAGGGCTGTAGGAGGGAAACAGTCAGACGGCAAAGAGGAATCAGGCCAAAGGAGGAAAAGCCTAGGTGTGGGGAGGGGATGTGGAGAGGTGCTGGTGAAGTATAAATGCTCGGGAACCAACCAAGGTTGAATTGGTTGAAGGGAGGGGGTCTCGGGAAGCAGCTTCGTGCAGGAAGGGAGCAGGGTGTCTGAGGCATGCAGGATGGCCCAACAAGGTGAACCTAGCACATGAATATTTGCAATGTTCCTTGGGGTCAAGCGGTCCAATGAGGTGACCTCAGGACAAACCTACAGTCTGTGTTCTCTGGGGATAAGAGACCTGGAGGCTGGTCCTGGGACACACTTATGTTTTATATTCCCTGGGGCTAGATGGCCTGATGGACTAACAAGTTGGGCTGACAGCCTGTGCTAGCCATGCCAGGGCATGCTGACCTCAAGTCGGCCACTGTAGTCCAGTTCAATGAGTTCAAAGACAGCAATGAGCTCTCCGGCTGCCCGCGATCCCTTCCTCAGGGGGAAGAACTGAAGCTCTGGGCGTTGGTATGGGTCCTCCATCAGCTTTACCCTCGGGGCAGCCAGTGCCCTGCCCAGGAACACAGGGGGGCCCTAGGGGGATTAGAGCAGTGAAGACAAAGGGGAAGAGGCTCAGGAGCCAGGGAAGGTAGGCATCAAGGGGGGAATTCCTGGCCGGGAACCCAGGGAGGGCCCAGGCCACACTCACAAACTTATTGTGGTCAAAGACATTGATGATCACTAACGGAGGCTCCTCCTGCAGGTGCTCCCTCCTCCCGTCCACGATCAACTGCTCAAATATCAGGAGTTCATCCCACAGAGGGCTCAGCGTCTGCTCCAGGACCTTGGGGGCCAGAGAAGCGGGTAGCAGCAGATATCAGGAGAAGGCTCCCAACACACATGCCATGTGAGCACCTCTGCTCTGAAGGAATACTTCAAGTAAATGCTAGTCACAAGAAGAGTGAGATGTGAGAAGATGAAAGCATCTTCAGATGGTGTTGCAGCCGGCCCCTCCCAGCCCTGCCTACCCATTGCAATTGGCTGCCCTCAGAGTCCAGGCCTAAAGTCAACCCCAGAAAATGACTCCTCACTGCTGAGACCTCCAGTTCTACATCGCCTGCTAAGGTAGGGCCATCTAGTACCCCATCCTGATACCCTGCTCTGCAAACCCAGGGTGGGAGGAGAGGGGCCTTGGGGGAAAGCTCAGACCCACCCTAACTTGTCTCCTGGGTCCCTTCCACCCACATGTCATCCCAGCCCTCACCCGTGTGGTCTGGCACTGGGTAGAGATGAGGACTCGAGCAAAGGGGTCCGAGAGGCCACTGTCGTCTGCTGCCAGCACACCTCGGGCCTGGTACAAGTGAGCCCGGAGTTGGAAGTAGCTAAAGTCTGGGGTGAGGGGCAAGGAAGGTGTCATGTTTGCTCAGGGGAACCACTGAAGTCCCCTGACTGAGCCCCACACCTTGGGCAGAGATTGAGGTGGCCTTATACCTGCCCTGCCCACCCTCTGCACTCACCATCCCGGTGTAGGCTGGAGGGCAGCCCGACCAAGGGCTCGGGCAGCAAATCCGGAGGCAACTCAGAGGTGCAGGCCTTGGCTTGCTTGCCCAGGCCGAGCCACAGGAAGAGCTCCAGCTTGGCACAGACCTCACCAGGGGCTGCCCCAGGTGCCTGCATGTGAAGAAGGCATGTCAGGGCCCCAATGCCTCCTCTCACGACCCCAGCTAGACCTAGCAATCCTGCTTCCCCATGGCACACCTCCACTGCACATCACCACACCATGCCAAACACCCAGTCCACTCCCTACCTGCCCAGCCTTACCCTCTTTCTGCCCCCCACCCTACGCCATGACCCTCGCGCTCTCACTCCCTACACGTCTTGCCCTAACACTGCCACTTCCTGTACCCCACACCCCCTAACTACACTCTGAGCTCTGCTCTCCCACCTTTGTCCCCTCTACCCTCCACACGTTTACATTCCCCATCCCCAACCCCAAGGGTCACGGCTTCTCCCTGCTAGGGACCCTTTTCGGTATCTCTTCCAGGGACACCTCATTTAGAAATCTTTAGCCCGCAAACCAGCTACATTTTTTTTTTTTTCTTTTTTTTTTAGATGGAGTCTCACTCTGTTGTCAGGCTGGAGTGCAATGGCATGATCTCTGCTCACTGCATCCTCTACCTCCTGTGTTCAAGCGATTCTCCTACCTCAGCCTCCCTAGTAGCTGGAATGACAGGTATACACCACCACGCCCAGCTAATTTTAGTATTTTTACTAGAGATGGGGTTTCACTATGTTGGCCAGGCTGGTCTCCAACTCCTGACCTCAGGTGATCCGCTTGCCTCAGCCTCCCAAAGTGCTGGGACTACAGGCATGAGCCACCACCCCCGGCCAGACCAGCCACACTTGTAAGGGGTGAGACGCACTCTCCGGTTTTTAGTATGCTGCCTATCTCTCAGGGCCTAGTCAGCAAAATGGCCTGTGCAGTCCCAGAGTTGGGAAGATTTGGGGTTTATCTGATTTCAAAGCTGCCCCAGGCAAAGGCACAATCCCTTTCTGGTGTTTTGGACAACTGGAAAGCGTTCAGGGGCCCCTAGTTGGGAAGCACAGGCCTCTACCCAAGGCCTATCCTACCCCTGCCCTGTAAGCTCCACTCCACTTCTCCTGGCCCCTCACCCGCAAGCCCCCTCACCGTGAGCATTAGACTCTGGATCTTCCCACAGTCCCGGCCCCGTTCCTCCTCGACCACAGAGAACAGCACATCCTGGGCAGGGATTCGGGCCCAGGCCACGCGGCGCCGCCCACTGAGCATCCAGACCAGCACGTCGGGGAGGGGTGGCTGGGGCTGCGGGTGGAGAACTGGTCACAGAGGTGGATCAGGAGCCGACCCCTCCTGCTCTCACAGCTTGAACTGAATGGACCAAATGGTCACTCCAGCTCTGATCTCCCCAAGACAGGGTCTCACTCTGTCGCCCAGGCATGAGTGCAGTGACACGATCACGGCTCACGGCAGCTTGACCAACCAGGCTCAAGCATCCCTCCCACCTCAGCCTCTCAAGCAGCTGGGACTACAGGCACATGCCACCATGTCTGGCTAATTTTTTTATTTTTTGTAAAGATGGGGTTTGGCCATGTTGCCCAGGCTCGTCTCAAACTCCTGGGCTTAAGAGATCCTCCTGCCTTGGCTTCCCAAAGTGCTGAGATTACAGGTATGAGCTACCACACTTAGCTTTTTTTTTTTTTTAATTGTGGAAAAATACTTATAAAATTGACCATCATCCTAAGCATTTTTAAATGTACCATTCAGGGGCATGAAATATATTCACATTATTATGGAACCATCCCCATCATTCATCCCCACAACGTTTTTCATCTTGCAGAACAGAAACTCTGCCCAATAAACCATGCTTCTCCATTCCCTGCTCTCCATCCCAGCCCCTGGCAGCTGCCATTCTTCTGTGTTTGGATTTGACTATAACAAGTCCTCATATGAGTGGAATCATATAGTGCGTGCCCCTGTGCCTGGCCCAGTTCACTAGGCATAATGTCCTCAAGGCTCATGCACATGGTAGCTGGTGCCAACCTTGTCTCTTCACCTTTCCCTCCTCCCCAGTCTAATCTTCCCGGATGTGCACAGTGTGCACATGTAGTGCCCATCACATCAGCCAAGTACCTGTGCTGGTGACACTCTTCTCCTCCAATATCCAAACACCCAGTCCTGGCAGTTTCCCCCTTCTCTCCCTTCCTCCCTGCCCCACTTCAAGACCATCTGCTTTTTTTTTTTTTTTTTCTCTATAGCCCAGGCTGGAGTACAGTGGCACAGTCATGGCTCACTGCAGGCTCAACATCCTGGGCCCAAGCGATCCTCCCACCTCAGCCTCCCAAATCGCTGGGACTACAGGCACACACCACCATGCCTGGAGATGTTTTCATTTTAAAATTTTTTTGTAGAGATAGGGTCACCCTATGTTGTCCAGGCTGGTCTCAAGCTCCTGGACTTAAGCAATCCTCCCACCTCCAGCCTCCCAAAGTGGTGAGATTATAGGTGCGAGCCACCAAGCCCACCCGAGAGACCATCCACTATTGGCTAGACAATTGTGACAGGCTCCTAAGCAGTCTTCCTGCCTTGAGTCCTCCCTTCCTACCCACTCTGCTGTGGCTGGCTGGCTGACTGCTCACCATCCTCTGGGTATCAGCTGCAATGTTGTCTTTGCAGAGAAGACTTGCCTGACCACCTTACCCAAGCAGGTTCTCCTCCACCCCGTCACCCTCTGTAACCTCTTTCTTACCAATTCCTGTAGATCATAATTATTTTTCATATTCATTTACAGATGTAGAGTCTGTCTCCCTAGAACATAAGACTCAAAAGGGCAAGGAATATGGCAGAGGCTGACCCCCAGGGCCTAATACAGAGCCTGGCACACAGGAGGACTTAAGATGAGAGGCCAGGCGTGGTGGCTGAGGACGGGCATAGTGGCTCATACCTGTAGTCTCAGCACTTTGGGAGGCTGAGGCGCGTGGATCACCTGAGATCAGGAGTTTGAGACCAACCTGGCCAACATGGTGAACTCCATCTTTAGTAAAAATACAGAAGAGTAGGCAGGCGAGGTGGTACATGCCTGTAATCCCAGCTACTTGGGAGGCTGAGGCAGGAGAATTGCTTGAACCCAGGAGGCGAAAGTTGTAGTGAGGTGAGATCACACCGTTGCACTCCAGCCCAGGCAACAAGGGCAAAACTCCATTTCAAAAAAAAGAAAAAAGAAAAAAAACAAGAATATTCATAGCAGCTTTATTCATACTAGCCAAAAACATGAAACAGCACAGCAGTCCATCAATATGAGAGTGAATAAACAAACTGATATATTTATACAATGGGAAATTGCTCAATAAAAAGAAACTAGATATCTGCAACAACCTAGACGCATCTCAAAACAGTACACTGAGTAAAGGAGGCCTCTCACAAGAGAATACAGTCCTTCCTCATTATTTGTGAGTTCTGTATTTGCAAATTTGATTACTAGCTAAAATTTGTAACCCCCAAATCAATACCCCTGGTGCTTTTATAATCACATGAGTATGGGCAAAGAGTCAAAAAGTTTGAACAGGTTAGGCAAGGTGGCTCATACCTGTAATCCCAGTACTTAGGGAGGCCAAGGTGGGAGGATCACTTGAGCTTAGGGGTCCAAGAGCAGCCTGGGCAACAAAGTGAGACCTCTTCTCTACCAAAAAAGAAAAAAAAATTTTTTTTTTTTTTTTTTTTTGAGACTGAATCTTGCTCTGTCACCCAGGCTGGAGTGCAATGGTACAATCTCAGCTCACTGCAACCTCTGCCTCTCGGGTTCAAGCAATCGTACTGCCTCAGCCTCCTGAGTAGCTGGGACTACAGGCATGTGCCACCATGCCCAACTAACTTTTGTATTTTTAGTAGAGATGGGGTTTCACCATGCTGCCCAGGCTGGTTTCAAACTCCTGACCTCAGGTGATCCTTCTGCCTCAGCCTCCCAAAGTGCTGGGACTACAGGCCTGAGCCACCGCACCTAGCCTCTACTAAAAATTTTTAACCCTTCTTTGGTCGAAGCTGCAGAAGCAAGATGACGAGGAAACATCGTTTGGAAAACATCACAATAAGATACTTCGTGCCGCCACTGTGGCTCTAAGGCCTGCCAACTTCAGAAGTCGACCTGTGGCAAATGTGGCTACCCTGCCAAGCACTAGAGGAAGTATAACTGGCTAAAAGACAAAATACCACTAGGACGAGGCCAGGCGCGGTGGCTCACGCCTGTAATCCCAGCACTTTGAGAGGCTGAGGCAGGCAGATCACGAGGTTAGGAGATCGAGACCATCCTGGCTAACACGGTGAAACCCTGTCTCTACTAAAAATACAAAAGATTAGCTGGGCATGGTGGCGGATCATGTCACTGCACTCCAGCCTTGGCAACAGAGCAAGACTCTGTCTCAAAAAACAAAACAAAACAAAAAAAACCACTGTGACTGATTGAATGAGGCACCTAAAATTTGTATACTGCAGATTCAGGCATGGGTTCCATGAAGGAGCAACACCGAAAGGGTTGTCCTCTTGGGACAACACCCAAAAGGGTGCCTGTCGCAGCATCCAGTTCATCTTAAGATTTTCAACAATTGGCTAGGTGCGGTGGCTCACGCCTGTAATCCCAGCACTTTGGGAGCCCGAGGTGAGTGGATCATGAGGTCAGGAGTTCGAGAACAGATTGACCAACATGGCGAAATCCCATCTCTACTAAAAATACAAAAATAAGCCAGGCTTGGTGGCGCTCGCCTGTAATCCCAGCGCTTTGGGAGGCTGAGGCAGGCAGATCACCTGAGGTCAGGAGTTCAAGAACAGCCTGGCCAGCATGGTGAAACCCTGTCTCTACTAAAAATACAAAAATTAGCTGGGCATGCTGGTACGTGCCTATAAATCCCAGCTACTCAGGAGGCTGAGGCAGAAGAATCACTTGAACCTGGGAGGCGGACGTTAGAGTGAGCAGAGATCGCACCACTACACTCCAGCCTGGGCAAAAGAGCAAGACTCTGTCAGAAAAAAAAAAAGAATTTCAACAATGAGTCATGCAAAAAATGTTCTGGTTTATTAAAAATACAAAAAGAAATTTTTAAACCCATTTCCTGTTGGACTTGAGAATACTCTTGTCTGTAATCCTAATGTAACATCATATATACTTCTGTTACATTAGGATTAGAGACAAGCTCTGTTTAGAAATAACTCCAAGTAAGGTTTTTATATTTTATTTTCATATTGAAAATCAGTCATATTTGCTTCTGCCTCAAAGAGCAGGTTTATGTAAAATTAAATGAGTGCTGGCAGTGAGCTGCATTTTTTTTCTCTAAACGGGAAATGGGTTTTTTTTTTTTTTTATAGATGGAATATTACTGTCACCCAGGCTGGAGGAATGCAGTTGCACAATCTTAGCTCACTGAAACCTCTACTTCCCATGTTCAAGCAATTCTCTGGCTTCCTGAATAGCTGGGATTACAGACGTATACCACCACACCCAGCTTTTTGTGTTTTTTTTTTTTTTTTTTTTTTCGAGACAGAGTCTCGCTCTGCCGCCCAGGCTGGAGTGCAGTGGCCGGATCTCAGCTCACTGCAAGCTCCGCCTCCCGGGTTCACACCATTCTCCTGCCTCAGCCTCCCGAGTAGCTGGGACTACAGGCGCCCACCACTTCGCCCAGCTAATTTTTTGTATTTTTTTAGTAGAGACGGGGTTTCACCGTGTTAGCCAGGATGGTCTCGATCTCCTGACCTCGTGATCCGCCCGTCTCAGCCTCCCAAAGTGCTGGGATTACAGGCTTGAGCCACCGCGCTCGGCCGCTTTTTGTGTTTTTAATAGACTGGGGGTTTCACCTTGTTGGCCAGGCTGGTCTTCAATTCCTGACCTCAAGTGACCTGCCTGCCTCGGCCTCCCAAAGTGCTGGGATTACAGGTGTGAGCCACCACACTAAGACATTTTTTTAAAGTTTGAAGGGCCCTGAATTGGAATAAAGCAATACTCTGCCTTTGTGAACTCTGATACTGTAAGCATCGTTTTTCTGTTTTGCTTTTTTGTTTGTTTGTTTTTTGAGACAGAATCTCCTTCTGTCACCCAGGCTGAAGTGCAGTGGCATGATCTCAGGCTCACTGCAACCTCCGCCTTCTGGGTTCAAGCGATTCTCCTGCCTCAGCTTCCAGAGTAGCTGGAACTGCAGGTGCTGGCCACCACGCCTGGCTATTTTTTTATATTTTAGTAGAGATGGGGTTTCACCATGCTGGCCAGCCTGGTCTCTAACTCCTGACCTCAGGTGATTCCACCCACCTCGGCCTCCCAAAGT